CTGAAAATTATTCTGAACTCTGTACAGAAATTACAAACATATAGAAATGACAGCACTTTAAAAAATTGCAATTATAGGAAAGAAGACCCAGAGTAATGGCCCCCCACTAAACAATTGTCATTTTTTTCAGAAAACGTAAAAACATCACTTTCTCAGAGGACTAGCTGTTATTTGTCTTCTGAGCGGTGTTAATTATATAGGTTTGACAACAAAGAGTTAAGCTTATGTTGGATAGTGGATGGATGTTGGCTTATGTTGGACAGCAGGGTCACCTGGCCAGGCTTTGTGTTACTCCAGAGCTCTGTCACTGGCAGATAGTGTTAGATTAAGCTGAAAGAAAATGAAAATGTGCAGGTATTGTACTCAGCCTCAGGCCATCCAAGGTTTGAGTGACCATTTTTTGGCTTTAGAAGAAAATTGAAGAATATTTTTAAGCAAAACTGTGGTCATTGGTGATTCATAAAAGTCAACAGTTCAATGGCATTTTGAGTCAAAAACAATATATGCAGACATAACAAATTTAATACCTCTGGCATCTTGTGATTAAAAGAAAAAGTAGAAATTATTAACCACATTTTTATCTTTGAATCACTGCCTCTGCAAAAGGTAATCCCAACTATTTTCAACAAAACAATTTTTTTTCCATTTGCGGCAGTTTGTGTAACAGTAACGTGAAATCAGACTTAAGTAAACCCAAATAGAAGCATATTTACATTGATGTTGAACACCTATGAAGTGTAGTATGCTCTATTCACCATAAAGAAAATTGCAGTTGTAACAGACTTCCTAGTTTGCTGACAGTGTATATATGTATGTGTGCAATGCATTTTGTCCTTGGGGCTTGCCGTAGGTGAATGTACATGAGCACAGCATGTTTCAGCATCCTGCTTTTGGGGGGGTTTCCACCACTCATTGTTATGACTAATAAACAGACAGGAGTTCATATCACCATGTGACAGCAAATTTTTATTTTCTTTGTAAATACAAGTATTCAGGTAAACCCTTAGTATGATTGTTTCATTTTAGCAGTGTTTTGTAAGGGGGTGGAATACTTACTAAAGATACTGAGATACTAAAGGGTATTTAATTGGATATACACAATTAGTTGACATTAAATGAGTAAACCTGTTGCCTTAAAATTATAAAAGGGAAAATTCCCACATAAATATAAATCTACTCACTGTTTACTCACCATGATATGTTCTTTTATGATCAACAAACTCAAAGTTTGGAACAACTTGAGGGTTCTTTCTTTTGTGTATCTCCTAAGAATATATTTTCTAGAAAGCTGAACAACTGTAACCTTTGACTTCAATTGTAAAAAAAAAAAAAAAAACATTATGGAAGTCAATGGTTACAGGGTTTCAACATTTTTCAAAATATCTTTATTTTTTTATTTTTTTGCATAGCAGAAGAATAAAAATGAAAAAGGTTAGGAACAAATTAAGGATAACTAAAAGTCGACAGATTATTCTATTTCAGGTGAACATCCCTTCAAATAAATTTTCACTGTGTGAAAATTATAAAAATTAAGTTGTCAACTTAAAGAACCCAATATACAACGACCTTACTCGTTTTATTTAAGTAAAGTCAACTGGTTTACTCTTCTTTTTTTATGATTATATATATTTTATTTTCTTCAATAATTAAACAGTTCTATCAGTTTACACATTTTTACATCCATTAAACATCCCATTTTCCCTACCCAACAGCTGCAGTTACAGTAATTGTTGCTATCATAAATCCAATAAACACAGATAAATAAAATAACCTCAATAAATAAAAAGGCATGCTTACAAAAAAATAATAGTAGTAAAACAACAACAACAAGAATAATACATAAATAAAATAAGATAGTTACACTTTTACTGAGTTTCTCACCACAGTGACCTTATTCATCCTCCAAAAATGCCAAATATTTACAAGTATAAATAATCTTCTCTAATAAATATCCAATTTATCAATACTCTTATTTTTTTTCTAAGTAAAATAAGTAGCATGTATTTACAGTGCAGTGATGCCATAAATAAAATTGATCCATACTAAAAGTAGTGAGAAAGTGCACATTTTGAATACCTGTATCTACTAAATGAGAATTTTGTGATTGTCTCGAAGTTTACTATAGCTAACAGCAGGGTCTTAAAATTTTTTTAAATGTCTTAAATTTAAGGCCTTAAATAGTATTAAATTCACTGATATATTGGGTTGTAGTTCTTAAATCATTTTAAACAGGTCTTAATTTTCCTCAGTCCAAAAAGGCCAGTCACCAACAATCCATCTTAATAAAATCAGGAAAAGTAAACTAAAAACAATTAGACAGTTCCTCATGATAATAACAGAACAATATATCTCTGTTATTAACTATATATATATATAGTTTTATAACAGAAATGCTTTAAGTTGAATAGAAGTTATACTCAATAAATTTAGAACAAAAGCGAACAAATCAATATTTTTGATTATTTATGTAGTTCCCTCCACAAAAGAAACATACATTTAACAATGTTAAACCTGTCATTAAAAAAAAAAAGAGGAAAGAAATACTGTGGTGAAAGTGTATACAAGTATAATTTGTTTTATTTTGACACATTAAAGTATGTCACTAAGAAATATTTACTTTTTGTTTGCCATTCATTGGTGTTTAGTCCTGTTTAAGTCTAAAACTTAATTCATAATGGTCTTAAAAGGGTCTTAAAAGTCATAAATTTGACTTGATGATACTGATTCTAAACCCCTAAATACTTTCATTCTAAACATGTATAGAAGCACAACCCATTATTTCCTCCATATATTTCATTCAGATTTCCACTTCAGAACACTTTCTAACAGCGTGAGGAGTGTTACGCAAGAACGTGTTTACCTTGTAAAAGAATAAACAAAACAAATATTGCCGCTTAGCTCTCAACCCGCGCGTGGAGGTGAAGAGGAGGCTGAGAAGTGGAAAGGGAGGGAGAAACCAAGAAGCCGTGTCTCCCTGTGGCAAACTCCACAGCGTGGCGCAAGAAAGAGAGATTGAAAGTCAAAAAATAAAAAGAGAGATGCGGTAGAGGAACATCTCTGTATTATTGATAACAGCGAGAGGATGAGTAGAGTTCTTCTTCTTGTTTTTACTCTCTCTCTCTCTCTGAAGGTTTGTGGTTTCGTGATTGGTATGTGGAGGGTGGATGTGTCTCGCAGAGCCGGGTGGCTGACAGTGGTCTCCGTCTAGCTCCAAATGCCAATTTGCGAGCTGTCTCATTCCATCTTGACGAAATGTCCTATTCTCTGGTCGGAGGGAAGGGTGGGGTGTGAAGTGTGGGCTTCTCCTGCGGGAGAGCTGTGGCTTCTATCATCCTTATCAAACCTGGCTTCTGCAGTCACACTGGATTTAGCTAACACTTGCTTAATACACTCCTCACTGAGCCTTGGGTGTGTGCGTGTGTGTGTGCTGCTCTGGGATGTACAACGAGCGTGTGCTAAGGGATTTGCTCTCGTGATGGGATGCATACTTATATAGACGTAAGGGAAATAACGCGTAATTGCTAACGGCTGTGGATCTTCATAAAGATGGAACACGAGTTGCGATTATTGCGTAGATCAACATTGCCTTTTAGATTAGTGGATGTGGTTTTGGATGGGAAGCAGCATCTGCCTGCTGAGTGCTAATGGGAGGGAAATACTTCTTTATACATTAAGAAATGTTTTATTATTGTTGGGATGCTTGACATATATCAGCGATCAAAAGTTTGGTCTGAAAGTTATGCTTATTAAATCTGTGTTCTTATTGCAATTAAAGTGTTTTAATCTAAACATTTTTATCTATTTTTTTTAATTCTGTTTTATAGCAGGAAATGTAACATTGCTTATTTGAAACATACTTATTTTTATTTTAGTTTTTTTTATTGTTTATTTTTTTATTATTATTCACTTTGTTTATTTATTTACTTTCACTTTGGGTTCATTTAATTTCTGACGAAAAGGTCATTAGTTAAAAATATTAATTTAACCTTTGCAAACTGTTCAAATTGACTACCCTTGTGGCAGCACATATTTATATTAACTACCGTTCAAAAGTTTGGGTTCAGTAGGATTTTTAAATGTTATAAAATAAGCTTTTCCTGCTCACCAAGGCTCCATTTATTTAATCAAAATATAGTACAAATTGTAAAACTGTGAAATGACCCCAAACTTTTGAGCGGTAGTATATATATATATATATATATATATATATATATATATATATATATATATATATATATATATATATATATAATCATGCATATAATCATGCATTCTTGATTGTTGGTGGTTTTGTTGGTGGCAAGAGGTAAAATGTGTAATTTTTACTGTTGATCATCAGTTGGCAGCATTAACCCTCTAGATTTATTAACCCCAGGTTTATGACTTTATATGGAGTTCTATGAACTAAAACGCCAGATTATAGTGTGCGTGCCTAAATACACTTACTATGCATACTATGTTCTGACAGCTCAGCTGTTTATTTTGATTTCCTCAGACATATCAAGATAAGTGTGCTAAGGTCTATATAAAAGTGTACCTCTTCCCAAAAGGGAAAACCAGCAAAAATTATGAATGCATGATTATTTGCTGTCATAGCTTTGCAATTACATCTTACAATGTCTTCATAATGAAGGGTAATGGGGCAAAAACAGCCCTGAACATAACAAAATGGTAGTACATTTGCTCAGTGTATTGTTGATTTTTTTTTTTTAAAGTCAAAGCATTTTCCCAAAATATGTGTCAAAATAAGATATTTCACCAAAAAAATTATTCCATTTGCTGAAACACAGAGAAGGCTGTGGCCAAATTAAAACTCAAAAATCAACCCCGAGTGGATGAAAACATCCCCAACAGTACACAAGGGTTAAAAACTTGTTTTTATTGTGGTATATCATACATGGTGGTTACATTTTAATAACCTAAAATGTACCCTTTTTAATGTGATAATGTCATCGGCTTGTCCACTGACCTTTGACTTCTCTCTCTCTCTCCAATCACAGCTCCCACATCGCCGAGTGACCTTCTCCACAGCCAATCAGGCGCAGGATCTTCAGGACCCCTCTCAGCACAGCTACTATGACAGCGGTCTGGAAGAGTCAGAGACGCCCAGCAGTAAGAGTTCTTCAGGGCCCCGTATCGGCCCCCTCGCCCTTCCCGAAGACCACTACGAGCGCACCACCCCGGACGGCAGCATTGGAGAGATGGAACACCCCGAGAACGGTAAGAAGAGAAGGCGTGTCCCCCTCCTTTTACTTTCACTCCATCTCTTTTCTTTTACATTTTCTGCATCTCAAAGTTTGAGTTTTTTAAATGGCGACACACTACAGGCAAACACACTGTTTTCATGCACCTGTCAGTTTGGAGAGTTTTGGCTTTTCATTATTGTTTTTTTCAGACGTAGTGGTTAGAAAATATTCAATATAAACTTTTAAGTGGTACTTTTATTTTACTTAAGCAATTTAAGTAGGAATATTTCAATTACAATTCAGGCCGTAAGCAGGCCAACTTCTCTAAAAGTGTTTTCTTTTCACCTGCTCAGCCATAAATCTCCACTTCAGCTTTGCTTACAATTATACAGTGATGTTCATATCTATTATTAAGATTTTTACATATCATATACAATATTTTATCTTCACAAAATTGTGAGAAAGTATTTTGTTTCTGGCAGTATATTTTTAATTGCAATATGGCATAATAAAAGAGTAGGGGTGTCAAAATTAATTATTTCTTCTTTGCACCGTAATGCAGGTGCAGACAATTTGGTATCGGTTTAGTAATCCTAACCGGTTATTAGGTACTGACATCATTTATCTCATAGTATGCTATGGCGAGGGAGGTGAGCGCAAGTAATTAAATAGCAGAAACTCACTGTGTGTATACTAGACAGTCATTCACTGACACAAAAGTTACAGCAGAATCCCCTATTTCACTGCTGTGGAGAAAATAAAAGTAAATGCCATTTATCTTTCTCACTTTCGCTTTCTCTTACTGTGGCCTCTTTGACCTGCTGGCTTGACGTTTCCTTTCCTCTCTCTGCTGTTATAGCGATACTTGTGGATTCAGACACGAGCGTGTCGGCAGAGTGAGTTTTCGCTACTGCGTCTGTCATAGATCAGCTGTAATTGCCGCGTCTGTTTATCAGTGTCACTTATCGGTGAACAGCGCCAGCACCTCATAGCTGTTTAACAACTTGCTTGACAACACTCAAAGTAATATTTGTTACTTGGCTTTAAATACTCATGTTGTTCAGTGCATGTACTTGAGTTTTGTTTGATGCATTCAAAAAGAGGGTTTTCTTCGAGCAGGTAAAATTAAAGTACAGTTCATATACAGTTGAAGTCAGAATTATTAGCGCCCCTGTTTATTTATTTATTTTGTTAAATTTCTGTTTAACCAAGAGAAGATTTTTTTCTACACATTTCTAAACATAATAGTTTTAATAACCCATTTCTAATAACTGATTTATTTTAACTTTGCCATGATGACAGTAAAAAATAAAAAAATATATAAGAAAAATAATATATATATATATATATATATATATATATATATATATATATATATATATATATATATATATATATATATATATGTGTGTGTATATGATTAGATATTTTTCAAGACACTTCTATACTGCTTAAATTGACATTTAAAGGCTGAACTAAGTTAATTAGGTTAACTTGGGAGGTTAGGGTAATTAGGCAATTTATTGTGTAACAATGGTTTGTTCTGTAGTCTGTAGAAAAAGAAATGCTAAAGGGGCTAATAATATTGACCTTAAAATGGTTTATAAAAAACAAAAACTGCTTCTATCCCAGCCGAAATAAAACAAATAAGACTTTCTTCAGAAGAAATAATATTATCAGACATACTGTAAAAAAATCCTAGCTCTGCTAAACATCATTTGGGAAATTAAAAAGACTGTATATGACTGCTTGTGTTAAAAAGGACAATATTGTATTACAAATAAAATTATACATTTTAATACAAGGATTTTTTTGTGCTGTGAAGTAAAATATAACATAGTGTATGGAAAGCATCAACAATGCCCTGAGATATCAAATTGAATCAAACTGATAGCATGATAATTTTAACCGAACCGATCCGTAAAACAAGTGTAGGTTCACACCTCTATAAAATAACTTCACAATTAGCTTTCTATAGAACTTATATAGAGTCAGACTTTATCCAATGATTTTTGTGATTGAAATGTATGCAAATTATTGCAGATTTGATTAAATACAGGCTCATTTGCTAAATTAAACAATCTTTTAGACAAATTGTGATATATATTATTAAAAAAATCAATTCTTAATGTAATCAACCATATGGGAAAGTATGAAGATAATTATTAGCATTTTTGTTTTTACCCTAATCACCTGCAGTGTCTTGCTTTGAAGTAACAGCTGCTAGTGAACTGAAATTATTGATTTACTTCTATTCCCTGCACACACACACACACACACACACACACACACAGTCTCTCTTTACTTTAAAACAAAGCAAAAAAAAAAAAAGAAAAAGCTAAATAAGGCCAATCTGAATTCTTAAACACTGTGAACATTTTATGTGACCTGAATGTCAGAATTTAAGCAAATTAACTACGAATTTAAATATGTTGTTTGTTCAAACTTTGTGGGCTTTATCAACACTCATTCACATGTAAAAAAAAAATGCATTAATTCCTGGCAAGATATTGCAATGACCCATTCATATTAGCGCATGCACAGCGTGAAGACCTCATGTAATCCTCCTCCGCTGTAGCTGTAGGGAGCAGCCCAGGCGGAGGTGCTCCCGAACGGGCCAAGAATCCTCAGCAACAGCTTCTGAGAGGGTGGAAGTCATAGCCAAAAGGCAGCCTGGCATTGAAAACATTTAGAATTTCAATTACCGCGGAATTCATCAGTGTGTATGTGCGGACACGAGTGTATGCGTGGACACGAAATGCACAAAAAAATAGTCAGGGTTTAATAAAGTTAAGTTCAGTAAACAGTTCTTGTGGCATGATGTTACAAAAAAGTTTAGCAATTTTGCAAGTACATTAATAAATAAATAAAAGGATTGCATTTTAGAGGTTTTTACATTTTTTTTTTCCCACTTAGCTAGAATGCAACAACTAAATTAATCAAAATAGTTGCAGTAATATATAATAGTAAAACTAATATTAAATATTGAAAACATTGAATAAACATAATACATACATACATACATGTACATAATCAATATAATATTGGACAATGAAAACACTTAAAAAGCCTCTATTTTGCATTATAAAATGTCATATTTTGGTTTTGGGTTATCCAACAACAGGCTGATATGCATGCAAGGTCAAAAAACACTTCCATTGTCTTAATATGCATTTACTTTTACCTAATTATCCCAAAGACTCCCATATGACTTGTTCAATGTATTATTTGTTCCCAAACCACTAGCTTGCGAGATGCTAATCTGCACTGATTGGTCCGATGACCCACCCTGTTGTGATTGGTCGACTAGATTTAGTGTAAGATGGAGAGAAACGCCTACCATGGTTATGAAGTAGTCAGAGTAAAGAGTATATGTGTGAGCTCAATGAAGGAATGCATTAAAGCAATGCAGCTAAACATCAGCATATACTCTTTTCTTAACTATATTTTTAACAAAAACCCCACGTAATAACAATGACACGCACTCAGTATTAATCCACACAGTGCCAAAAGTTGGTGGGCATATCGGTGACAAACGGCAGAGGATCGAGAACTCACAGTGAGCTTCCTTTAAATCGGTAAAGGAAGTGAAAATATGTGTCGCATTGTCAATGATTAGATGTGATATGTGAGTAGCCCCATAAAGATTTAACCTAAAAGATACAGTATAAGCACTGATCTATAATAGATAAGCGATTACAAGCCACACGTAGCAATTACAAGAACAGGCAAAAGATCCAACACTAATAACAAATCATTCATTCAATTCTGTGTTGACTCTCACAAGGATTTAAACCTCAGCTGGATGTTTTCATTCACTTAGAGCTGTGTTACACTTTATGGAAGGCTCATAATAGGCACTCTTTAATTCAACAACATAAAAAATAAGTCACTCTCCTTCTCCCAATCTAAAATGACTGTACACTTTATTTATAGTTTATATACACTGTAAAACTTAAAAAGTTAAGATAACTCCAACCTATTGAGGAAACCGCTTGCAACAATCTATTTAGTTTCCGATACTGATCCTAATGAGTAACATGAATTTAATACATTTGAGTAAACCAGGCAGTTCAAGCAAAGTAAAACCCAATAAATGAAGAGAACTCAAGCAAACTAAGAAATGTAAAACTCAGTAAGTTAAGGCAACTCAAACCATTTGAGGAAACCGATTGCTAGAAACTTCTGAGTTAAAAAAAATAAAAAACTAGTCTATATGAGTACTTTGAATTTACTCCATTTAATTTGAAGTAATTAACTTAATTATTAAATAAATAAACTACCTTCAACACTGAGTTCAAAACTCTTTCCAAGTCAGTAAAATTTTTGTTAAGTAAATGTTGAGTTGACTACACTAATTTCATTTGATAAAGTTTACAGTTGGGTTTTACAGTTTACTGTTTATTTTTTTAAAACATTGGTATGGCGCATGTTAAATCCTAAAAATACAATCCTGGTAATTTTTTTTAAAGAGCACAACATGGAAAAAGCATGCTGCTAATAACCAGAGAATAAAATAACAAGCTAAATAGTATCAGCTCAAAGAAGGACACTTTTTTTTGTGGAAAAAAAAAAAGAAAAACAAGACGAAGTATGACTAAGAAACTGAGGTGGACTGAGGCCTAAATGTCATGGCTGTCTTCCCACATCAGTGCTTTTCCCGAAGCTCCAGGACTGTGTGTGTATGTGTGTGTGTCTGCAGGGAGGGTCATCCAGACAGGTCTCACTTATGGCATCTGTACACACACAGCTGCACACAGAAGCCCATGGCAGGTGCCACCAGCCGCATATGCACACACACACACACACACACACACACACACACACACACACACACACACATGCTGAGAAAAAGTACTGTATGTGCTGTCCTGCATGCAAAAATGAGGTCAGGTGCGATGGGGGTTAGGAGGGATATTTATCCGATTTAGCCCACCGGTATTTCCTCAGGATGTGTACATACATTATTTCCTTAGGATATACATACACTATGGGTCAAAAGGTTTTGAATCATTTTGTGTGTGTGTGTGTGTG